AATAATGACCACAATGCTATTGTAGTTTTAGAAATGCATATGTTTGCCTTGAATTAGTATCACATAAATATAAGTTAACATAATATAAGTGTTAGAATGTGTGCCTCTAGGTTAAAACATTGATCAAATAAAGAGAAGATGTCCAGAGAAATGGACAAGAGATAGATAGCAGTATTGCTTAATCTGACCTGGATTACAAAACTGGTAGTTTCAGCAAGATTGACCATATTCTGGGTCATAAAATAAGCCTCAACAAATTTAAAAGAATTGAAATCATACAAAATATAGTTACTGCAAAAGAATTAAACTAGAAATCCTACAGAACTATCTCTGGAAAATCCCCAAATATTTGGAAATTAAACAAGAAATAATCCATGAGTGAAAAAGGAAGTCACAGAGGAAATTAGAACATAGTTTGAATTGAACAAAAATGAAAACAAAGTATCAAAAATTGGGGGATGCAATAGTCAATAGCATACCAATTGAGAACAAGGCAAGGATGTTTTCCTTCACCATTCCTATTCAGAATTGTACAGGTAGTCTTAGCCAGTGCATTAAGGCAATAAAAAGAAATAAAAAGTCTTCAAATTAGAAAGGAAGAAGTAAAACCATCTCTATTCACAGAAGAAATTATAAGAAATACTACAAGAAAGCTGTTAGAACTAGTCAGAGAGTTTTGAAAAGTCATAATATTCAATATACAAAATCAGTAGTATTTCTATATACTAGCAGTAAACAAATGGAAATTGAATTTCAAAGAGAAACTTACCAAATACAACAGGACCAAAAACATTTTAAATATTTAGGTATAAATCTAACCAAAGATGTCTAAGATCTGACTTTTGAAAATTAGACACACACGGATATTAAATAAGATCTAAAAAATTGGGAAATATATCCTGTTCATGGATTGGAAGACTCAGTTGGTTAAGTGCCTTCGGCTCAGGTCATGATCTCAAGGTCCTGGGATTGAACCCTGCATCAAGCTCCTTGCTCAGCAGACAGTCTGCTTCCTCTCCCTCTGACCCTCCTCCCTGCTTGGGCTCTCTCTCTCTCTCTCTCTTTCTCTGTTCCAAATAAATAAATAAAATCTTTAAAAAAAAATGACATGGAAAGGCAGAGAACTAGAATAGCTAAAACAAGTATGAGAAAGAACAAAGTTAGAAGATATGCTACCTGATTTCCAGACTGATTATAAAGCCACAGTAATCGAACAGTGTGGTATTGACAAAAGGATAAGCATATAGGCGAATAGAACTAGACAGAGTGTCCAGAAATAGACCCATACTTATACAGTCAAGTGATTTTCAGTGAAATAGCAAAGACAAAACAATGGGAAAGGATAGTCTTTTCATCAGATGATCCTGGAAGAAACATACATTCACTTGCAAAAAAAAAAAAAGGTACCATATTAACAAATTAACATGACATAGATCAGAGACCTAGATTTAAATTAAAACTGTCCTGCATCAGCCTCCCTTCTCCCTCTCCTGCCCCTCGGCTTGTGCGCTCTCTCTTTCTCTGTCAAATAAATAAATAAAACTTTAAAAAAATAAATGAAAACTATGAAACTTTTTTTAAGATTTTTTTATTATTATTTTTTCATTTGAGAGAGAGAGAGACATAGAGAGCACAAGCAGGGGGAGAGGCAGAGGGAGAGGGAGAAGCAGACTCCCTGCAGAACTGGGAGCGTGCTGGGGGCTTGATCCCAGGACCTGGAGATCATGACCTGAGCCAAAGACAGATGCTTAACCATCTGAGCCACCCAGGTGCCCCAAAACTATGAAACTTCTTAAAGAAAATAGAAAAGAAAATCTTCGTGACCTTGAATGAGGCAAAGATTACTTAGATACACAAAAAGCATGATCCATAAAAGAAAAAATTGATAAATTAGGAGTTTATAAAAATGTTTAAATTATGCTCTTTAAAAAAAAGAATACTATCATGAAAATGAAAGAACAACCCACCAGCTTGAAAATATACTTAAAACACATATCTAATAAAGGATTTGTGGCTAAAATATATAAAGAACTCTCAAAACTCAATAATAAGAAAACATGAGACCCAAATTATTGAAATGTGCAAGATATTGAACAAACATTTCAACAAAGAACCTATACGAATAGCAAATAAGCAAATGAAAGTATGCTTAATATCATTATTCCTTAGGGAAATGCAAATTAAAACCACAATGAGATATTATCACCTATTTGAATGGGTAAAATAAAGGAAAAAATGGGGAAAAGGAAACTAGCGATACCAAGTGTTGTGGAAAATATGGAGGAACTGGAATTCTCATCTACTGCTGGTGGAGATGCAAAATTATTATTCAAACCTTCTAAAAAACAGTTTGGTAATTTCTTTTCTTTTCTTTTTTTTTTAAAGATTTTATTTATTTATTTGACAGAGAGAGACACAGCGAGAGAGGGAACACAAGCAGGGGGGAGGGGGAGTGGGAGAGGGAGAAGCAGGCTCCCTGCAGAGCAGGGAGCCCGATGTGGGACTCGATCCCAGGACCCTGGGATCATGACCTGAGCCGAAGGCAGTCGCTCAACCGACTGAGCCACCCAGGTGCCCGGTAATTTCTTATATACACTCACCATATGACTTAGCAATCTCAAGAGAAATTTACTCAAGACAAATGCAGATACAAGTACACGCAAAAACTTGTATGTGAATATTTATAGCAGCTTTGTTCATAATCATCTCCAAGAAGCAGACAAACCAAATATTCTTCAGCTGATAAATTATTTTATTTTAAAAAATTTTTTAAAGATTTATTTATTCACTTTAGAGAGAGAGAGAGTGCACAGGGGGAGGGGTAGAGGGAGAATGGGAGAGGGAGAATCATAAGCAGACTCCGTGCTGAGTGTAGAGTCCATCACAGGGCTCTATCTCATGACCCTGAGGTCACTACCTGAGCTGAAACCAAGAGCTGGACACTTAACCGACTGTGCCACCCAAGTGCCTCTGATAAATGATTTTAAAACTGTGATATATCCATATAATGAAATTGTATTTGACAATAAGAAGAAATAAACTTCTGGTATACATAACAACATGGATGAATCTCAAATGAATTATGCTAAGATTTACAGATGTACTAAGGCTACGTGGTATATGATTACATTATATGACATTCTGGAGAGAGCAAGACTCTAAGGACAGAAAGTGATTCAGTGGTTTCCAGGAGCTGAGGAAAGAGTTGACTGCAAAGTACAAAGGGACACAAGGACATTTTTTATGGTGAGGAATGTTCTATATCTTGATTGTGGTGATTTACATGACTGTATGCAATTGTCAAAACTTACAAAACTGTAAACTAAAACATAATTTCTCCTACATATAAATTATACTTCAACACATCTGACTTTAATTTTTAAAAAGAGTTTAAAAAGCTGTTTTCCAGGGGAAAATCCAATAAGGATCAGAGCCAAGTAAATGAGAAAAAAAATCTTAGACGGAAGCATAGCGACTTAATCTAGGATGAAAGGAACCTAAAGAACAGGTTTCCAAGAGAAGATGAAATCAACAATTTAAGGTTAAGATGTCTGTAAAAAACAGCTTAGAAGTCATCCAGAAAATACAGAGTGTCTTAAGAAATGATAAATAATTCACCAACTGCTCAAAAGCTAAAGTAACTGAATCACAGAGAGTGGTAGGCAGAACCCTAAGGCACATGCCCATCTGTTCCCTGGTGTACACACCCTATTTAATCTCCTCCACGTGAGTGTGGGTGAGACTAGTAAACCGGGGAATGCACTCCCACGGGAGAGAGATAGAATCACAAGCAGACTCTGCACTGATCACAGAGCCCGTGATGGGGCTGGATCTCACGACCCTGAGATCATGACCTGAGCTGAAATCAAGAGTTGGATGCTCAACCGACTGAGCCACCCGGCGTCCCAGGTCAGCTTTTAAAAGAGGAGTCAGGCCCTCACTAGATGGAAAGGTTCTGCTGTGCTGGGAACTGCCCGGGAAGAGGGGGAACCATGGGGCAAAGACCCGAGGGCAGCCTGTAGGAGCTGAAAGCATCTCCAGCAGGGAAGCGGAGACTGAATTCTGCCAACAATGAGTGGTCTTTTGCCAACAAATGATCTTGGAAAGGTCAGTCATCTGCAAACCTCAGATGAGATCTCACCCCTGGCTAATGTCTTAATTTCAGCCTGGGAAGACTCTTGAGCAGAGAACCCAAGCCTGGATGGCTGACCTAGAGAAATTGAGATGACAAATGTGTGTTTGCTTAAGCCACTAAGTCTGTGGTGATTTTGTCACACAGTAATAGAAAAGTGAAGAGTGAATTAAATGTGTCAAGCTAGTTTAATCAGAAAATACTTTCATGATTTTGACTCCAACAGTTCCTCACCAAATCAAAATAGGCTAGTTTTAAAGATTTACTATACATTGAATCAAAAAGTATCAGAGAAGGTAACATCATAGAAGAGGGAAGACCAAGGGGATGACATCTTTAGAGGATACTCTCCCTCAGTTCTGTCCAGGGTGGGCCAAGAAAGTCCCAGTACAGACTGGTGGAGGGCCCTTCCACTGGACGTTCTCTGATTTGGGCTCATTGCACTTGGTAACTCATTGTCCCACAGACTTCCCTTCTCCACTTCTAGGCAGAGACTTCCGCCACCCCAGTACTAATAACTGTCCTCTCTGGGCTGGACACCCTCCCACAGGTCTCTAGGGCCAATGGTGACATCCAGACCAGAAACACGTCAGCGCTCACTGGACTTTCTTAACACTCATTGTTAACACACTCATTTGTGAGGCTAGTCACCAGGAAATAACCATGAATCATTCCTGAAGCATCTTTCCATATATGTGATAACAGAAAGAGGGTTTCCCCCCCAAACAATATTATTTCAATTATAGGTTGCAGTACCTTGCAAATTTAAAAAATAACATTCTTCATTTTCATCAGATTATCAATTGTTTTATTCTAGAAAATTCTTTATTCTAAACATTATATAATGAAAATGGAATTAATAACTTACCTTGTAACTTTTTAGTCTGATGAAATCAACCTTCATAGAGACAAATCTATCTGAATTTCGACTGATGTTCTTAAGGTGTTCTACAAGATCTGCACAGAACTTGTAACCTCCTTTAAGCACACACAGGATCATAATGTCACAGTATCCTATGTCTTTCATAATATCCTTAGCCAACCGTTCAGTTCTGAAAGAGGGATTAAAAGATATATTAAAGCATAAGTACTTCTGAGTATTTTTTTCCTTTCAAAAAAATGCATGATGCATTACCCATATTAGATTACACAGGGGATTGTGGAGGAGAGCTTGGGAGACAGAAGCCTACAGATAAAGAAGCTTTGTTAAGACTGGACAAAGAGAGAGTGTTCAAAACATATTTCTGATAACCACATCATCCCTAGTACATTTTTGCTCCTTGGTGTCACAAACATGAGTAAGGTATAAAGTATATGTCAAAGATCATGAATGCTATTATTTTACCACTACAGAGCCTGGTTGTTAGCAATGCTATGAAGATATCTGGTGATATTATGCTCACTTTATAGCAAAGAGAGAGGACATGGAGAATGACTCACTCACCTTACAACATTAGAAGAGACTAGAAGAAAAGTCAAGCACACAGAAGCTATCAAAAGAATCACCTCTGTCTTTTATTTGACAAAGATGGCACATTACCTATGTGAAAGGTGCCCAGGGTACAATTCCAGGAGGCACCATTTATATGGAGCACCATGTGAATGATGCCTTCCTCGAGCTAGGTAATGATGCAGCCTCGGGCTGGCACCCAAAGCCTGATTCGGAACTGTCACTGTATTTTTTCTAATTGTTTCATGTTTAGAAGTCCATTGCCCATGCATCCATACAACATCAAAGCCTCGAATGGAGGCAGGAGCTCGGGTGCATATTTAAAAAAAATTCCTACTGGCACTTCAGATAGAATTAGATTTAAAATGTGTTAAATGAATGATCTGAATATATATATATGTGTGTGTGTACGTGTATATATGTATATGTATGTATATCTCTCTATATAAAGCATTATATTACATATGTTCTATATATCTAATATATTACATAATATATTTTATATGTTATATATATGTGTGTATATGCATATATATGTATAAACATATACATATTAAATGGCAACCATGGTTTCAGACAATGTTTCTCAAAATATGATCATCAAGAAAATGTACATCAGCATGCCAGATAGTCTGCAAAAAGGGACATTTATTTTCAGCATAATGGAGTGAGATGGTCAACACATTCTATCCACAAAAAAGTAACTATAAAGCTAGATAAAACTGTCGAAAACAACCATTTCAGCACTCTGGGAGTTAACCAGAGACATGTAACAAACTGAGAATCATTTATTCATGAAAACATTGAACAATGGGTAGAAAGAGCGCAAGTCTGTGGCATCCTTGCCAGTGAGTGCTCCCATCTCCCTGCGCCCCACATCGGCTCTGTTGTTCAACCAGGTAGTTCAGCCAGGGTGGGGCACTGCCAGAGGGAGCTTCCCTCGCAGGTAGCAGTGTCAGTTGGTATGGCTATCTTGGTAGCCTGTGAGCAGGGAGAGCCAATGGCCCCATTATCGTGAAGTTGCAGTCCTGTTTGAGCAACTAACTGGCAGACTAGTCTAGTCGGGGATTTGATAGGGAGTTCTGGGAGGTTAGCGTCACAGGAGAGGGATAGACAATATACTCTTCACATATCTCAAGTTGACCAGAAGCTATGCATATGCCCAGCAGAGACCAGCATGGGACCAGGTTACCTATACCTTCCTGAATGATGGAGCCTGTAAGTGTGTGCAGCAGAGATACAAGAAAGCACAATGAAACAATAAAAGCCGGGGAAGACTTGAAAAAGGATGGAAATCTGAATGTGCTTGACAGACGCCACACACATTCATCAGGGCTTAAGGTGCTTGAGTACAATCTCTACCAATCTTAGACTGAAGGCTAAACTATTCAGACAGAGGGGTGAGTCCTAGTAAGTGAGGCTTACAAAGTAAAAACAAGAAAAATAGACTGCCTATCATCAGAGGCCATGCACTGTGGGAGATACAGATTCCATAGAGTGGAAAACAAAACAAACAAACAAAACCCAAAAAACAAAACTGAAGAACAAGGGCAATGAACAGAAAATAATTACAAATATGGTAGATATGAAACCAACTATATCAATAATCACTTTAAATGTGAATGATCTAAATATACCAAGTAAAAGACAGAGACTGTCAGAGTGGATTAAAAAAAAAAAAAAGACCCTAACATATGTTATCTCTAAAGACACTGATAGATTAAAAGTAAAAAGATGGAGACGGACATATTGTACTAACACTAATGAAAAGAAAGCAGGAGTAGCTTATTGATTTCAGACAAAGCAGATTTCAGAGCAAGGAAATTATCAGGAATAAAGAGGGCATTATATACTAAAAAAGAGGTCAATTTTCCAAGAAGACATAACAATCCTTAATGTGTGTGCATCTAACAACAAAGAGTGTCAAAAAACTGACAGAACTAGAATCCACTACTGCAGTTGGAGATCTCAATACCCCTCTCTCAGTAACTGACAGATCCAGCAGTCAGAAAACCACTAAGGATATACTTGAACCACACAGTATCATAAATCAACTGGACCTAACTAGCATTTATAGAATATGTCATCTAACATTCTTCTCAAAGATATAAATAAGAAAATGAAAAGACAAGCCATAGATGGGGGGTGGGGTATTCAAAAATGATATATCTGGTAAAGGACTTATATCCAGAATATATAAAGAACCCTTACAACTCAGTAAGAAGACAAACAACCGACCCAATGTAAAAATGGCAGAAGACTTAAATAGTCATCTCTTCAAAGAAAACATAAATAGCTAACAAGCGCACTAAACAATAGGAAAATGCAAATTAAAACCACAATGAGATACTTTTATATATCCACTAGAATGCCTATGGTCAAAAGGACAGACGATACTAAATGTTGGCAACCATGTGGAAAAACTGGAATCCTCATCCTTGCTGGTAGAAATGTAAAATGGTACAGCCTCTTTGGAAATAATTGGCAGTTTCTTAAACTTAACCATAAAACCCAGAATACCACTCCAAGGAATCCAAGAGAAATGAACAGGTATATCCACACAAAGACTTACATGCGAATGTTCATAGATACATTGTTCATAGTAGCCCCAAACTAGACATCCAAATAACCATTGATTGGTAAATCAATAATTAGATATTGTATGATTTAACTTATATGAAGTGTTCAGAAAAGACAAATTTATAGAGAAAGGAATCAGACTAGTGACTGCCTGATGCTGGAAGTAGGAATAGGGGCTGACAGCAAACAAACTTTTGGGGATGATAGAAATACTGTAAAATGATGGTTGTGCTTGCCCAACCATAAACATTTACTAGACATCATTGACTCATTGACCTACAATGGGTGAATTTTGTAGTATGTAAATTACACTTAATAAATTCATTCCTGGGCCCCACCCCAGGATTTCCAGACATAAAGCATAAGAATACACATTTTATGGGGTGCCTGAGTGGCTCAGTGGATTGAGCGTCTGACTCTTGGTTTTGGCTCAGGTCATGATCTCGGGGTCATGGGATCGAGCCCCACATGGGGCTCTGCACTCAGCACAGAATCGCTTGTCCTTCTCCCTCTGCTTCTCCTCTTTCTCTCTCATGAATAAATAAAAGCTTAAAAAAAAAATACACATTTTAACAAGTTCACTGGTTAAGTCTCCTGTACTGGGAACTGGCTTTGGGTAGCCTTAGCAGCCCAATCATGTATTAGATCAGGATGCAATTAACTAAAGTCATAAAATTCAGGTGAGAAAAGCAAGAATTTGTTTAAACCAGGGGGTTCCCAAACCTTTGTTAAGGGGAAAATGCCTCTGAGTTATTAAGAGGTGAGCTGAATACAAGGACTCCACTGCACAACAAAGTTGGTTTAATTGTTAAAGTCAAGCAGGTTTCTTTCTTTTTTTTCTTTTTTGCAGGAATTTCCGTATCTTCAATTTGAATTGCTAACAGGGAGATTTGGCCATTTGAGAGATGCAAAATTTCCCAAGTTTATTTGATCACAGAACATTTTGTTCCCTCTGAGGATTGGGACTTGTATTCCATGAAAAGCCATCTTAGGCCATGAGAAACTCCAAACTAGACCTTATTTTAATAATATACTATAGTTTGAGAGGACGTGGACTATGCAAGTCTTACCCAATGGAAAATTCTTAGAGTGAAAGAATGACATTTCCTTTTGGTATAGACAGGAATTGGTGGAAAGATAATATCCTGGGAATAGTGACTGTCTAGTGTTTTTCAAACTTCAGTTTGGCTAAGGACTTGTTTCATAAAGTTAAATATTAACTCAGAAGAATATAATAGATTAAAAAAAATAGAGGCAGAAGTACTATGGTTTAAGAAAAAAGGTAGCATGGGAAGTCCAAAGTTGCAATTTGTTCCTATTCCCCAGTGCCTCTCCCACGCCCATTTCTGGGTGTCTGAAGAATCTCTATGTTCCTGGGAGTGCACTGTGAGGCTTGCTTTCCATGTAAATGTGAAGGCTTAAGTATTTGATCTTTGTACAAGAAAACAGAGAGGTACATGGAATGATTATAGTCTTTGAATTAGGCAGTTTTGTGAAAGGAGTATGACCTTTAAATCCTGATGCTTAGGGTGGGCTCAAGTGGAGGATGCTCTCTGAAAACCAAGAAACAAATGGTGACTTATGGGCTTAGAACAGGTGAGAAAATGTTGGCTTTTAGAAAGCCAATTGGCTAGGAAGGAGCTAAAGGATCTCTATATAGATGGGTCAGAAAGAACTAGAAATAGCATTCTAGAAATAGTTCTGTGCAGATATTTTTAAGTTGAAAATATGCCTATTCCCAAAACATTACCACTGCCTGGAAACCATAACCAGACACAGACTGGCTGATCTGTGATACATTGCTTGATCCGAGATATATGCCAAGTTGCAGGAAAAGCCAGGGCTGCAGGGGTGTGTCCCATGAAGGTAAAGTTCACCTGTTAATTATCCCTGGTTAACTCAAGCGTCTGTGAAAAATGTCAGACAGAGGTCCTCAGGTAAACAGCAATGCTTTCCCAAACCCTGTTTTTATCAGTTTGTGCGGGACATTGTTATTTTGAGGCTGTTACATATAATTATATATATATATATATATATATGCACAGAACGTAAAAATATCTGCATGGAACTATTTCTAGAATATATATATATATATATATATATATATATTCTTATCATTTCCCCTGAACAAGTGTCCAGATAACGAGTTCAATTAAAGCAGAGATTCGTTTTTTTTTTTTTTAAGATTTTATTTATTTATTTGAGAGAGAGAGTGAGAGAGAGCAGGAGAGGGGGGAGGGTCAGAGGGAGAAGCAGACTCCCTGCCGAGCAGGGAGCCTGATGCAGGACTCGATCCTGGGACTCCAGTATCATAACCTGAGCCGAAGGCAGTCGCTTAACCAACTGAGCCACCCAGGCGCCCCAGAGATTCGTTTTATTCCAAATTCTCTGTCCTATAAAATTTCTGTCTATTTCTATATAAGAGAGACTCAGGAATAGGGTCGTAAAGTGTATTATATGATTCGCACAAGAGGGGGCCAGCCAGTGCAGAACCAAGACTGACACAAGAAATAACACTTACCTGTCCACAATGATGCCATGAGGTATGAGGACATACTCCAAATCTCCATAATAGTGCTGTGGGTATGTGAATAAATTCAAGTCATATCCTGGCCAATCATCCATAATCTGTAAATCAAATTATTTTGGTTACAATAATTTTCATGGGGAATTTATTTGTAAAATGTAAGTAAGCAAAAATGGGTATCATTTGAAAAAAAGAATAATATGGAAAACAGAGAAGTGGTCTGATGATCAATATGACGTTAGATTACATTCTATCAACCTATGAAAAGCTCCGTGGGGGAAAATAATTTGTTTCACGAAACCTGATAAAAGATCTAGTACTGAAATGAACAGAGAATCCCACTCCTAACTTTTGGCATCATACAAAGAAATATCCACTTGATGTCTTATAGCTAACCTGATAGTATTGTTTGTAATGTTTGTTATATCGAAATTATATAGTATCATGAATATAAGTAACACTATGTTCATAAGTATATTGGACTTATACTTATGGACTTAGAAATATGGACAGTATCATCATACATTATTATAAATGTTATTACATATACTATTACATGAAGTTTGGTAGAAGTTTGTAAAGTACACAAACTTCTGAGTGGTCTAGTCATTACAGTAAACACTTCAGAACGATATACTATGGTGGGAACTTCCGTCAGTCCTATTGGGAAAAATTGTTCCAGAAAATTGGCCTATTCATGTAGTGAATAGAATACTAGCCAGTCTTTCCCTTGCTTAGCACTGGATGTGCAAATTTTATGGTTAGAACAGTAAAGATGTGGGAGAGAGAATGAAGGTGAAGAGCAAGTTACTTTTACTTTCAGATCACCGAGAAAGGATACACCAGGGAAGTGTTAGCACTCAACTCATTCCATAGCTGTCTTGCTGGTTCCTGTTCTTTGATGACTCCTGCACACTTCCATCAGATCTGCTATTCAGCTTGAACCTTTCATCATGCAGAGCTATCCCAATTTTCCAGCCCAGTTCCCTACATCATTGCCTCCCCATCCTCAGGCTGGGCTTCAGTCCAGTCGTGACCTTTCCCAGCTCTGTGTTCTGTTCATTTGTCTTTCTTGCACCTGCACCCTCTCCTTCTCCTTCCCTCTCTCCCTCTGTATCCCAAGCTCAACCCCTCTGCAGAAGCTCAGGTCAGGCCTCACTTATTTCTGGAGGCCTTGCTCACTGCTCCTACTCTCTGATCTTCTCTCCCAAATTCCTCATAGGTGGGGCCCTCGTAGCTGTCTTTTCAAAGGCTCCCAGACAGGCTCCTTGAAAAGACTTCTGCCACTTCCAGCCTCTGGCTCACTCTGTCTTATCTGTTATAGGACCCATTTGTACATCATTTAATTCTGGCACATCCCCCAGCTGTCTACCCTTTCCTCAACCAGGACTCAAAACCTTAGCTCAGGTTTTGGAAGGGCAACTCATGGTCCAGCTCCCACCCAGGCCCACCCCAGTTCTGGGTTCTGGAATGCCAGCCAAACCAAACTCAGGGCATTTTCTTCCAAATTTATCCCTTTCCTATCTCAGCAAAGGACAACATATTTTTCTATTTGCTCAGATCAAAATGTTGGAGTCGTTGTTGCCTTCTTTCTTTCATTCCCTCATGTAACCCATGGCAAATCCTACCATCAATTCCTTCAAAATTTAACCAGGACCACCTGTCAGCATCCCAACTGCTACCTCCCAGTCAGTGCCACCATCATTTCTCCGGGGACCATGCCATAGCTGTCAGACTTGCCTCCCTGCTTCCACCCTGCACCCCCACCCCATTCCAACATGGCAGCCAGAGCTCCCCATTTCTGAGTACAATCCAGAGCCTTCACCGTGGTGGCCCACAGGGGCTACCTCTCTGACTTGTCTGCAGGCATTCTCTACCTCCTTTATTCTGCTTTAGTCACGTTCTTCTTGCTGATCCTTGAACAAGCCAGGCACGCTCCTGCCTCAACAGCTTTGCACCTGCCCTTTCTCTTGCCTATAATACTCTTCCCCCAGATTTCTACATGGCTTACACTTCACTTCCTTCAAGCCCCCACTTAAATGTCACCTCCACAGAGAGGACTTACCTGATTACCTATAGAAAATAGCACCCCCTTCCTTCCTACTCATCTCTATATCCCTTTTCCCCAGCTTTACTTTCCTTCCCAGCATGTGCTCCCACTGGATGTGACACATGTATGTCTCTCTGTGTGCTTTGCCTTGTCTCCTCCTGCTAGAATGTCAGTACCTTCTGACAGAGACTATGTCTGAGTCACTGTGGAAACCCCAGTGTTCAGAACACTGATCTGGAATACAGTAAGTGCTCAAAAATGTTCAATGAGTTAACAAATGACACATTCTCCATCCACAGACTACCCAAGACTACTTGAGCTCCAGCCCAAACTGATTTGTCTCGATTTGCCTCCTTGCATAAAGAATACTGTTGCTCAAGGCTCTGGAAATTCATATCTACCAGGGGCAGATTGTTAGCCAAATGGTGTGTGTCATCTGCCTCTTTGAAAAATATCACATTTGCTCTGCCTCTATCTGCAAATTGGCTGGGTGCAACTATTGAATTTGCACAGAGCAACTCTGTTTTCCAGCCCTGAGAACTCCCTGTGCCTGCTGTAACCATCAACACCACAGTTCCCTGTCAGAGCCTGAACAGCAGCTATACGTGAGGAGCCTCCAGAAGATCCTCTGGCAGGCCACAGTAAAGGCCAGACAAGAACCCCAACCCACAAGGGGCCCCAAGGAGATCATTCAAGTGCACAGCATTTTCTGGCTCCCCTTCAGACCACACACACACTCCCCACTCCACTTCCTGGAGCCCTTCCAGGTCACCGGTGGCATCATTAACTAGTGGTCTTCTGAGCCCATTCTTCCTACCATGCAAATCCCTTACTGCCCCCTTCCCCCACTCTCCCCCTGCCCCCCTCCCCAGCTCTGGCTGTATCTCAGAGCCTACATTCCTCTCTGTGTTCTAGAGCTTAGCTCTGACCCTTACTGGCTGTGATGCTAGGGAAAGTACTCACCCTGCCTGAGACTCAGTTTCCCCCTCCTTTAAACAAGACACAATAAAACCTATGGTCAGGGTTGGTGTGAGGATTAACAGAGAACAGAAAGTCTCCAAAGCAGGCAGGAATAACCCCATTTGAGGATCTGCTGCAAGGAAATGGCCTCTACGGTGCTATGGACTGAATTGTGCCCCCCCCCCCCCCAATTCATTTGTTGAAGCCCTAATCCCCCATTGTGATGACATTAGGAGGTGGGGCCTTTGGGAAGTAATTAGGTCATGAGGGTGGAGTCCTCATGATGGAATTAGTGCTCTTCTAAGAAAAAACCAGGGAGCTCTCTAGCACACTCTCTCTCTTTTTTTCTCTCTCCCCCATCTCTCTCCCCTTCTTCCTCTCTCTCTCTCTCTGCCATGTGAGGACACAATGGGAAGAATAAGGCAGCTATCTACAAGCCAGCAAGAGAGTCCTAACCAGGAATGAAATCAGCCAGCACATTGATCTTGGACTTGCAGCTTCCAGAACTATGAGAAATACACGTCTATTGTTTAAAACAAACAAAACAGGAGAGAGAGAGAGAGAATTTACTTAGAGTTCCTAGGATATTTCCTGGTGTATAATAAGTGCCTAATAACTGATGTCAAAAAGAAGAAAAGAATGATAAGCAAATGGCAAAACCAACCTATTGATAACAGCCGTCATGGTAACCTGTAGTCAAAGGCGGCATGAAGTAGTGGTCAAGCACTCAGACTTAGAAGCCCAGCACCTGTGGGGGCGGGGGGGCGGTTATAGCTGTGGGACTTAAGTTGGGGCTTTAACTCTCTGTGCCTCAGTGTGTTCATCTATAAAATGGAGTCAGTGCCTGCCTCGCATGGCTATTGTGAGGATTTAGTAAGATATATAACGGAAATAAGACTTACAAAATCATCATCTAGTCTATAGTACGTCCAGGGTAAGTGTTAACCATCTAGGTGTGTTGAAACAACACGGGTTAACTTGCAAATTAAAGGTCTTAATTAATTTACAGAAGGGCCTCAAACCTATTTGTCAACGTATTGTTACCCTAGTTAAAGTTACACATTTAAAAATAGAAGAAATGTATTTCTCTAAAACTATTCTATAATTCAAACTGGCCTTTTCCATTGAGTCTGAAATAGTGAGTTTTCCTTGTTGAGATGAGAAAAAAAAAAGACAATTAGAGATAAAGGAACTACTGGTTTACAAACAACAGGTGTTGGCGAGGATGTGGAGAAAAAAGAACCCTCGTTCACTGTTGGTGGGAATGCAAACTGGGGCAGCCACTGTGGAAAACAGGATGGAGGTTCCTCAAAATATTAAAAATAGAACTACCCTTGGGGCACCTGGGTGGCTCAGTTGGTTAAGCATCTGCCTTCCACTCACGTCATGATCCCGAAGTCCCAGGATCGAATCCCGCGTTGGGCTCCAATCCCGCGTCAGGTTCCCTGCTCAGTGGGGAGTCTGCTTCTCCCTGTGCCCCTCACCCTGCTTGTGCTCTCTCTCCTCTCTCTCTCTCTATCAAGTAAAAAAAAAAAAAAAAAAAAAAAAAAAAGAACTACCCTATGATCCAGGAATCACACTATTGGGTATTTACCCCCAAAATACAAAAACACTAATTCAAAGGGATACATGCACCCTGATGTTTATTGCAGTATTATCTACAATAGCCAAACTAGGGGAGCAGCCCAAGTATCCATCAATGGATGAACAGATAAAGAGGATGTGGTATGTATACAGAGGAATATTATTTAGCCATAAAAAAAGAATGAAATCTCGCCATTTGCAACAACATGGATGGAACTAGAGAGTAGTATCCTAGGTGAAATAAGTCAGAGGAAGACAAATACCCCTATGATCTCACTCATATGCAGAATTTAAGAAATAAAACAAACATGCAAAGGAAAAAAGAGAGAGAGAGAGAGAAATCAAGAGACAGACTTTAATTATAGAGCACAAACTGCTGGTTACCAGATGGGAGGTAAGTGTGGGGGGAATGGGTGAAATAGGTGATGGGGATTAAAGCGTACACTTATCACGGAGAAAAAAAAGTACTATGCTTTTTTTTTAAATAAAGGAAACTACCGGTTTAGTCCTTGTAATTCTTAATGGTGCATGCAAATTGCATTGCAAATAAGTCCTAAAGCTGAAGGAATGCAGGCTACTATGAACTGTAGATAATTATGTTATTCATCTGCTTTTTAAAAAGTCAAAACAAGAAATCTTCTTTAAATAGTTTCAGTATTACAGATAATATGCTCTAAGTTTAGTCAGAATAATGCTTTCTCTGTCCAAAGACACAAAAAACATGGCTAGGCTGGGGAAGTGACAAACACATTAACTGAGCCATTTTCTACAAAATTCAAACCCTAGAACTCATTCAGCATTTCTTTTTTCCCATTTGAAGATGTATTGAAAACCTTCTTTCTAAGCCATTAAAAATAATTTTTTTTGCTTAGCATATTTCTTGCACCATTTTTCAGGTTTTTCCCCAGGGAGAAAAGTAGTTTGGAAACACATACAAAAAGCAAATCCCTGCTCCTCTCTGTCTCTGAGCCCCACACGCTGGGCCCCACTCTCTCCTTCAGGCAGTGACCCTGGTTGCCACCACTTTTCAGGCTCACATCTACCCCTCGACTGTCAGGGAGGAAAGGAGTCTCATCCCTCAGCTCTGCTTCCAAGAATTCCCACACAGGAACATCCAACATTGACTAGCCCAGGCAAGGAGGTGCCTCAAACCACACTTTGAATCAATGCGTAGAAGCAGTTTCCTAAAAAAAGTCTCTAGATTCTGCTCCCAGAGGAATAAAGGGGACTCACCAGAACAAATGACACCTTGTATCACACAGGCCTTCCTCTTCTGTGGTGGGTTCGGCACCCAACCTGATAAAGTTGTGTTTTAGATGGATTATCTGATTACTTATCTCCAATACTGCCCCAATTCTTGCGGGGGGTGGGGGGGACCCATAACAAAAGCACAACAATTATTTTAGATTTTTTTCTTCTTATTCCTTCTAAACCCACTGTGTAGGTACTAGCTATGATTCTCTTGATAATGCTTTGGTAGAAACAAAACATATCTAAGAACCTGATCCCAAAAGGCCAGATGAGCAGAGAGCTTTCTCTCTCCCTGAGAAGGAACAAAGATGTACCAATCATGGGCTGGTGACTTTACTAGCTCTAGATCAAGGGACCAGTCAATCTTGAGCAAAGTTTCTGAACTCAAGGTCTACAACTCTTATTTGGCAATTAACATTTGCTACCGCTTACTGTTAATAACCTACCAATGTCCTACCTCCCCTATTCAATGGAAAGCCATTGTAGGCAAGCGCCATCTTAAATCTCGTAATATTCCCTTCTCTTGCACAAACCAGGCTTCTTGTTTTATGCTTACGTCATCCGGTTCTATGCCCCCCTGCCATCTTCATCGCAAAGTTTCTACCAACTCGGAATTTTCTTCTGCACCTCATTTCTGGACAGCCCCCAAACATGCCTCCATCATCCTATTAGCCACTTCATCCTGTGACTCCTTCATCTGCCTTAACCCAAACTACTTCATCTTTATGCCACATCCAATCTTCCAGAGCAATCCCACCTCAGAAGGACTTCCCTGCAATCACAGCTTTCTATGTAGCACTGTGAGTAAAACCTGACTTCAATCCTGCTTCTGTCATTTGCTAGTTATGTGACCTTGGAGATTTTCTTAATCTCTCAGGGCCTCCGTCTCCTCTTCTGTAAAATGGAGATTATATTCCTCTCTCACGGATTTGCAAGGAGTTAATGAATAATTCAGGGAAACCACAGTAAGTGCTCAATAAACACTCACTATCAATACCTGCCCCCTTTTTCCACTGGTACTAAAACTTCCCTTTGGTTTTTTTGCAACCATCCTTAAGCGTTCTCTATTTTCCCTGTATAGGTACCTTCCTGAGCTTTGCCTTTCCTCTCTACCGTAGATGCCATGGGCTTCCCCAGCACGTTGAACTCACTCTGAATTTGCCTTCCCTCCCTGTATCCAACTTGAGTTCATCTAATTATGCCAAGCTCTACTGGAGAAAATAACATGAATGCAGGGGCCATCCCATGACACATTGTTTCCAACCTCTCATGAGGTCCTCTCTGCCTCACACCGTCTTTCTCAAAAAATTACCTTGCTTCCCAGAGAACGTCTTTTGATACTAATAGATTGGGCTATTCATACTGTTCCATCATTTGCTTTTTAGACTTTAACAATCTGCCTATCTTACTGGTCATATCAATTTACCTAATTCCTTTCTAAGAGCATGTATTATTAAAGAGTAGTGCTATATTGTAGCCATTCTACTGATGGGATGGTTGTTTAAATGATTCTCACGGCTAATGGCTTTGCAATTGTTAAATACAATGGCCTCTTTTCCATCTTTGTCCTACTTGCTGTTCCTGCAGCATCTGACACTCTTAATGGCCCTTCTCGCCCCTCCACAAAACTCTGTTCCCTAGACACCTACCACCCTGTCTGTCGTCTCCGGCTTTGCTAGTCATTCTTGGTCTCTTTATCGGATTTCTGCTGGACATTCTGCCTCTTCCATGTGGGGATTTCCATGTTTCTACCCATAACAGCAGTTTATAATTTTTTTCCCATTTTCACGGGGCCTTCCTATCCAAGCCAAGCATCAGATATTTTTCTATTTTCTGAAGATTTCCAAGTCTATCCAATCACTCTCCTCAATTGCAAATACAAATTTCAAATTGCCTGCAGTGCATCTTGACCTGGAGGCCTCACAGATTCAATTTGTCCAGAATTGAACTTATTTCCCTTTTTATATTTTCATTCCTCCCCCACCCCCAGGCTTAAATGTTCGCTCCACGGCAACTGGAGTGTTTTGTTTTTGTTTTTTTTTTTTAAGCATAAATTGGGTGTGAGGATTTCTTCTCAGGATACAATGATTTCTTTGCAATTGGTATGGCCAGTACCTCTTCTTCCGAGGGTTCACATGGCTACCTCCTACTCACCCTTCAGGTCATGGTTCAAATATCACTGCCAAGAGACCACCCTGACCACCTGAGCAAAAGCAGTGCTGCTCTGCTCCCCAGGCCTCCTCCAATCACTCCGTATCTCATTACTCTCTTTTCTTTTCACTGCACACGTCACTATGTGAAATTTTCTTCTTTATTTTCTTGCCTATGCCCCTTCTCTAGAATGTAAGCCCAAAGAAGACAGGGCTTTGTCTGGTTCCCTGCTCTATCTGCAGAGCCTAGAACACCACCTGGAAACCCGGCAGGACAGTCAAATGAATTCCTCGTTCTTGAAGATGGAAAGGTCCTGCCCATAAATTAAGAACTGAGCAACACATTTCAACCTGATTAGTTCTGTCTGCGTGTGTGGTGTTTCCTTCCCCAAACCCCATACTCCAGTAATCCATGCATAATCACACAGGTTACCTGCGAATACCACAGAGCTCTGAAAAAAGAAATGTTAATGCAGCAAGTTAGCCCCACTCTCCACCCTCACCTCTGTTAAACCTGACACAGTAATAACCACCACCTTCTATAGAGACCATTCTGGACAGGAGTTAGGAGCCGAGGCCAGCGGCCACAGGGCAAGAGCAGATTTGATTCCAGGACACTGACAGATGGGTACCCTCTGATTGACTCTGAGGGATTCCCAGGGATAAAGGGGCTCTGGTCTGGGAACCCATCATCCCACATCCTCCCCTCCGGACACACTACTAGACAGATACTTTACAATCTCTCCAATTCGCTCAACGGGTCAAGCACGCAGTGTCTCCCTTTAGCTGACAAGGAGACTGACACTCCGGAGGCACTAGCCTGTGTCCCATCTTGTGCAAAGACCCCAGGGTCCCAGCCCACGTTTCAAAGCTTAAACTCCGTCCATTTGAGCTACTTTATTTCCTAGCTGCCCTGGAGAATCATCCGTATCTTTTTGTAAACCAAACTGGAAGCCTGCGCTGGAAGGGTCAGGGAGAAGCACAAAGGGAGGGAGGCCCCCAAGAGTAGCCCGCGAGGGTCTTCACAGACCGGCCCTGCTCCCAAAGGTGACTCGTCGTGGCTAGCAGGAGTGGGGACCCGGCACCACACAGGGTCAGCGCTGGGGTATCCGATTCCTGGCCCAGGAGGGGAGGGAGGGGCGCGGAGGAGACCACTGAGAACACGGGGTGCAGAGCTGTTAAGTGTTGGGTCAGGTCGCGCGCGGGGAGGGGCGGCTGGGAGGGGAGTATGGAAGCCATCAGCTCCGGGACGGGAGAACAAAGCAGTGGCCCGCCCGCATTTAACGCGAATGCATTTCAGGCATTTAATCTAAAAGGAGGGTGCCAAGAAGGGAGGGGAGGGGAGAGAGCGGGGAGCGCACGACTCAGCCCAGAAATCGGGAGTTTGCATTTACCACGACGCCTCGCCCGTAGTCTGGCGCCTCCTCGCTGCTCCCGGCCATGTTTCTCCCGGGGAAAGCGGGAAGGGAAGAAGGGCGCGGGAAGGATCTGGGAGGGCGAAGGGCTGGGAGGGGGATGGGACCGGGGACCGGGCCGCCCCGCCCCGGGCCAGCCGACGGGGAAGGACCGCACGCCGCAGACCCCGCGCCTGGCGCGGCTCCAGCGGCTCGGCCGCCGCGTCCCCCTGTCCGGGCCCCCTCCCCCGGCGGGTCCCGGGGCGCGGGCGGCGATGCGGGCCGGGAGCGCAGGGCGGGCGGCGCGGGGCGCAGCTGCCCAGCCGCGCGCGCTCCACCTGAGCGCAGACCCGGGGCGCGTCCCTCGCGGCCGCCGCCCGCCAGTCTGCGAGCCCCGGAGCCCCGGAGCCCCGCCGCCTGCTCCCCGCTGGGACTCGGGAGGACGTGGCTGCCCGCGGCTGGAATTTTACAGCAAGAGAAAGTGTTCCCATGGCCCCCGCCTCCCTAAGGCTGTGGTCCCCGGCTTTCAGGCGAACAATGTCTTTGAATCCTGCCTGCTAATTTTTATGCGCTCTTTATCCCAAGTAAAATCCGTGACAGAGTCTGCGCTATGGGACGTTCTCGAAGTATGGCTGTGGACGAAACTCTTCCGAATGGGTTTTTTTAAATCGTCGAGCCGCCCGGCCCGCAGTTTGAAAGAGCCCTCTGATTGCTTTTATCCCGGCCCAAGCCCGCAGTTTAGGATCTGGAATCTGAGATAGGGCCTTTCCTTCACCGCGTTCAGGGGGGAAAAGAAAGAGACATTTTTACAAATTATCTACTTTACCACTTTTGTGAGACCCTGTGGCCAGACTTTCATGGTTTCGGGTTGCAGTTTAAAGCAATCGCTCTCAGATTCGAGAGCCTCTTTTATGAATCTTTTGTTAATTGAACCCCTAATGCAGCCTTCCCCCCACCGAATGTGCCGGTTCTTCGTCCATTCCTCAAGGGCCTCGCTTTCCATGAGTATATATTCATTCCCCTGCTCGCTCTCGTCCGGTTGCATTCTTTGCAGCCCCGTCCTGGGTCTGCAGCCCCGAGCTGAACACCGCTCTCGGACTCAGGCCTCTCTTTCCAAAAGACTGTTTTGTTCGTGTTTGGGTTCTGGCACACGGCAGGGAGAGGAATGCTGATTTTGCTTGGTTTGAGGGGAAAATAGCCACCAAGCAGTTAATGCCGCTCTAAGTTGGAAAGTTACTAGTCATTCAGACGTGGCCGTGCTCAGCACTGTTGATCGGCTTCCCCAGATGCCAGCGCAGGGGAAGGAAGACAGCTCCGTGGATCGCGGAGACCAGGCACGGTGCTGGACACTGGGTGATCTTGTTTCCTGGTGTGCAGGTAAACGTTTTCGCCCGTCCTTGTCAGAGGTCCTTGCTTAGGGCCATTTTTATAGTCTGCCTCTCACCTCTTTTCCCAAAGGTGAAAGTCCATCTTCCACTGACGTTATCAAGAACCAAGCCCAGGAAGTATCTTCACAACCACCGTCACTAAAACTTCCAGGAACTGAAAAGTACCATCACTGGGGTGGGATCAAACTATAGGGTTCACGACACTCGCTTGCGGAGCTGGTGAAAGCAGCTTCCGGCTACTTTAACCCCCGCAGGTTATGTGGAGAAGCCCTGGGGTGGGACATGGAAATCCGTGCTGCCAAGACCTCAGATGAGGGAAAGGCAGGTGGTTCTCAAACCACTCTGTGAAGTATCCCACGTTATCTCTTACTGCTGCAAAATCAAGCTTACCCCTAAGAGGCTCGGTGTGGGTCATGGGTCAGTCAGATCAGATTTGAGGCAGGGGCCTCAAAATAAATGACAGGTGTAGCTGCTAAACACAAATCAAAAAGCAACCCACTCTGGGCCCAGCTCAGGCACTGTGGAACATGGAAAAGAAACTCTGGGTAAATCTTTCCTTAGAAAGGCCATTAATTTAAATGCAGAACCAAATGGGATCACAATGAAAAAATATAACTTGCTTGAATGACAACAGGAATCTTATGAATGTATGCTCAAGAACATCCTGTCTAGACCTGTAGAGGACATCCTAAGAAGACCACAGAATGATGAACAATTTTTTTAAAAAAATTTTAATAATTCACTTTATTTAAACCAATATAGGAAAAATATCACTTCAACATTTATTGAGATGTTTATTCATTTTTTCATAATCGATCTTTGAAATCTAGTGTGTTTTATGCCTACAGCACATCTCAGTTTAAAGTAGTCACATTTAAAGTTTTCAGTGGCCGCCTGTGGCTAGTGGTACCCATACTTGGGTGTTGCAAATCTAGAGTACTCTAAAATTTATTGCATTGACTTAAAGATCTTGGGAGTGAAAGGAACTAGAGAAGAAAAGGATGAGATTTCAAGTATAATTGATCAATGAATTTTCCAAGAACTTGATAGAAATCATACTAGCAATACAAAAGTTGACACCAACTAGTTGGATTTTTGTTCTAGTTTTTAAATATACCTGTTTTTTTTAACAAATCATTTTTAAAAATAAATTTATTATCTTGTCATATTTGGATGACATTTTGTGTGATCTAATTATACTTCGATACTTTGGGCAGCATTAAAGGAACGCGATGTAACACTTGATATCATGAGTAGTAATTGCAAGGACCAGTATCCAAGAATAACAACTCATCTGGCCAGGCTTAATTCTTAATCTTGCGTTATGAGAATTTAGAGGCAAAAATTCTTTTAAAATCTCAAATTTCAGTTATGTGTCTAGTGGAATAGCTTTGCACTAGAATTCTGATTTTTTTTTTTTTTTTTTTAGTAACAACCCTTATGGTCTTAGCCAAAGAGGCTAAGCCAATTACATCAATCTAATATGCCACAATTTTCTCATCTATAAGAGGGGGCAATACATTATTGCTTTATTGCATATGATGAATGAGATTAACATAAGATAACAGGCAAGAGAATCCTCAGAAAAATCCCATGAAACTGTAAGGTATTACTAATCTGAGATACTGCGAAAATGTATGAGCAAATGATTGTAAAGTTAGTTGATCTGAAAATGACAGGGTAATTGCCTTTTTAAGATGGGTGTGATGGACCAATCGGGAGCAGTTATAGTCTAGGGACAAGTTGGGGTTGGTCTGAGAATTGATAAGGAAAATGAGAAAATTATTAAAATAATGGAATTTTCTACACAAAAAAGGGATATTTGAGCTCAGAATGTCCATTTTCTGATATTTCTTTGAAGGGGCTGTAAGAATAAAGAGGTATCTCTTTGCTAAGTTAATAACCAATAAATATGCTGGAGTTTTTCTGTCATTCTCTGTATCACATTTTAGTGGCAGATTCCCTGCATTTTCTTTCTTGTTTTTTTTAGATTTATTTTAGAGAGAGAGAAAGTGCACACAAGCAGGGGGAGGGGCAGAGGGAGAGGGAGAATCCTCAAGCTGACTCCCCTCTGAGTGAGGACCCCAATGCAAGGCTCAATCCCAGGACCCCAAGATCATGACCTGAACTGAAATCAAGAGTAAACTACTTAACTGACTGAGCCACCCAGTAGCCCCAAGATACCCTTCATTTTAAATTCTGAGATTATCTTGTGTCATTACCATGATAAAATCACAAATATTTATATTTACCTGAATTCTCCACCAGGCCAAAAGACTTTTGTCCTAAAAATACATACTGATTTTTTGACACTTTGGTAGTTTTTAAACTTTTGACCATACTAATCTGTTACTGAAGGACCAATTCAATCTATGTGCTGAGTTGCTCAGTCTGTCACTCAGTAACACTGGATTCAAAAATACAGAAAGGCATTTATTTTTTCCTCAGCCCTGAAACATGAAAATAAATAAATAAATAAATAAAACTCTTGGCCTGGGAACTGTGTTGAAATACATAAACATATGAAACTTAGTGACTCAGGTTGTTAGTCACAGAGTCACTGGTTAGAATCTGGATGAAATCCACTGTGGACAAAGGCCAGTAATAATGATGATGATATTTTGCTTTTCCTTAGTGCTGAACAAAACCCTTTACAAATGTTACAAGTACAGGAGAAAAAGTGGCAAATACTTTCTTCTAAATATTCAGGCGAAGTGAGAATCTTGCTACATTTGAGTATTTTGTCCCCTGTACATATGTACAGAAGAAATATAGTTGCAAATAATTGTAACACAAAACAACTTAAGCAAAAGCCTCATTAGTATTCAGTTAGCATAGTAAGCCCTCTTTCATGGCCTCTTGTTTGAAACAGACTGGATCCAATGTGTAGTCTTAGAATAAAGGAAATAGTGGCCCCAGAGTAGTTCTTACAGATAAAGCCAGGAGCTACATTCAGAATTATGTTTTGTATTATTACACTTTCATTAGTAATTAACCTTCCACTGAAGAACACACTATGGGTAGACTTCAGCCTGCTTTTTTGCAATAATGTCAGGCATGAGTAATATCATCAACACTAAGTGCTGGGCTGTTTCAGAGATATTCTCCTACTATCTCCCCATCTGACCGGAACAGGAATTGGATAGCTTCAGAGTAAAAGAATAATGCGTCCATGTGTTCCTCCAGATCTCAGAGTCCTGGCAGCCGACCTCAACTCTCTTGGCCACCATAAAGCAGTCATTGAAAGGACACAGCTGCAGGAACTAGAGGCTAAGCACTAAATAAATCCACAGGGCTAGAGGCACAAGTCATGTACATGACCCTAACACAATACCTTGTGGTTATGAATGAACGGATTAGCATCTAATGGTGCTATGGCAGCTTATGCAAAATTAATTGGTACCTCAGCCAGTGCCGAGTTTCTAATGGAAAGATGTCCAGTTCAAAAAACAAAAACAAAAACAAAAAAACCCAAGGAGATCTCCTTAAACTTTGGCTGGGTTGGGGAGACGAAAGACTAACTAGAGTGGGGATTGAGCTGCTTATTCTCTTAGCTGTACATAGATTCTGTTCAGATCAGCATAGATGTACTGTTCTCACTGGCAACATCCCAGGAACTAGTCGGTATCGCCAGTGTCTGGGTTGTATTCTAGATAGGAAGTAGGGGGAGCTTGGGAAAGTGGTGGGGGAGACGTGGCTTGAGGTCTGGAGTTGTCTCATATGAGGGAAGAGACTAAGAAAGAAAAGGAGATTGTCCACTGGGGAACCT